AACACTGACATGGGATGGAATTTTATTTCTCTCTCACATAAGAGAAGCCAGGCCCACACAGCAGCTTCACGGTGCAGACAGATGCCAGGGCCCTCAGTCTTTCTGCTCTGTTGGGCTTGTGGCTTTCATCCTCAAGAGGGCCTCATAGTCCTGGAAGGCTGCTGGAGAGCCAGACATCTCCTCCATCTCCCCTGTTGCTGGGCAGGAAGCAGGAGAAAGTGGGGAAAGGGCAAGAAAAACCCACATACCTGCCTATTACTTTCTTAAGGAGGTTTCCTAGAATTTGCACCTAACTTCCTCAGATGCCTTACTTGCCACCCTAAATTGCAAGGGACTTTGGTCAGATTTAGTTGGAACATTGTTGCCCAGAATAATATAAGCATTTTGTCATTGAGGAAGGAAAGCATGGATACTGACGGGCCTTTAGCAGGCTCTGCCACGAGGGAGGGGAGGGAGGGTCTTCGGTGCATTGTCTGTTACAGGGGAAGACCTGAATCAACCTTGACACCAAACAGCAGAGATCTGAATGAAGGAATTGAGGTCTGTCCTCAGCTCCTCAAGGGCAGGGACACAGCATCACAGCACCTGAACCTGAGCAGGTGCCCCCAAAATGCCGTGGAACCAGTTCCCCGAAATGGCTCACGTGGCCAGTTACACTGCACCAGACAAACTGGAACAGCTGAGACAGCTGTGTCTCTCCCCTGCTGCGTCGATGCCCCTAACCCCCCACGACCGCAAGCCACTGCAGCCTTCAGAGCATCCTGGCCTCCCCTTCACTTCCGCCTTCCCAGCCTCACACAACCTCACCCTTGACCCTGGGACCCTGGGACCACCTCGGGTGAGGAGCTCTGGCCAGCACGGTTCCAATGGAACACTCCAGAAGACAGTGTCAGAAAGCTGCCTGGGGCCCTCAGAGGTAGCACCTGCTGGAGAAGGGTTAATTCTATCAAACCTTGGCCCTTGAGTCCATGGCTTAATCTGCCGTGTGACCAAATGGCAGATACACACAAAGCACTTCAGTTCCAGGCCTGAGGGGAGGTTGGGGAAAAGCACGTGTGCAGCTGTTTGAGCTGCTGGCTGAAAAATACACACACATTTTAACGCAACAACTTTTTACTTGAAGGAAGGACTGATAGAAGCTCTGATTATTCAGACCTGGCAGACATTTTCTTGAAAACGACAAAGTGAGCCTGTCCCTTCAAGGAAAACGGAGTGTTTGTGACCAACAATAAAATTCAAGCTTTCATGCGAAGACTGGGATTTTGAAAAACCTGCATCCGCCACCATAAGCTCGCCAACTTACCAAACTAAAGACTTTTCTGCTGAGACCGATGGTGACATTCACAAAAATGACACTTTGATACATGACTGTCACCTCCATTGCTTGGTGATCCGTTATCTTCCAAATGCCCAGTGTGTGATCCCACAGGAACAAGTGTGCATAAGGACTGGTCCAGGCGCAGGACGGACAGATGGATTCCAGTAAGACAGAAGTGAAAGTTCATCGATACGATTTCAGACTCCACGTTGCAACCAGCCCAAGAGGGACCACCGCTTGTTGAGTTTGGGTGTCGTCACGAGGAAGAACGTCCATGACCTGAAGATGTTATTAAACCTTCCTTTCTTTCCCAAACGTGTAACCGTGTGAGTCTGGATTTCCCAGATTCTCTCACATTTTCCAACCAAGCCATGTGCCACAGTGGACGCTGACCTCTCTGAAGCCAGAGATTTGAGGAAATGTGACACGGTGCCACTCTTCTCGCTAAAACTTCTTGTTTTGGAAAACATATTTTCCATGTAATTGTTACTTAGGTTACCATTGTAGTGAGTTTATTGTTATTTTGAAGTGAATATTTCTTAAATCTTAGGTTTAATTTCTAATAAGGTACTCTAACAGGTATTAATATTGGCAGTTAGAACCCACATAAACGAAAAGCTCTTGGCATCTTCAATAATTTTGAAGAGTGTTATTTATGGGGGTCCTGAGGCCCCGGATTGAGAACTCAGCCCTGGGCTGGCACGTGTGGGAACGGCCCGGCTGACGAGCTTTGCTAGGAAATGCCAGATGGCTCCTCGGAACGGTTGCATCAGTCTATATGGCCACCGGCCGTGTCCGAGTCGTTTCTTGACGTTCTCCCCATCTCACGAGTGTGAAATGCATGTTCGCATTTAATTTCATATTTTCCCAATGCCTCCTGGAGCTGAGCACGTCTTCCCACTTTTATCGGCCTCGGAGATTTTGCCCTATTCCATTTTCATGTGAATTTTAAAATAATTCCACCCATTTCAAAACAAAAAAGTGCAGTGTTATTGAGAGCAGAATTGGGATTACATTAATAAAATTATATTATATTTTGGAGTTTCTGGGATCTCTCCACATGCTCAGATATTGTTTTAAATGTTCTTTTTTTGGATAGGTAAGAAGTGGATTTATTTAGAGAGATACACATTCCATAGACATAATGCAGTCTGTCTCAAAAGGTGAGAACAGGGCTTCCCTGGTGGCGCAGTGGTTGAGAGTCCGCCTGCCGATGCAGGGGACACGGGTTCGTGCCCCGGTCCGGGAAGATCCCACATGCCGCGGAGCGGCTGGGCCCGTGAGCCATGGCCACTGAGCCTGTGCGTCCGGAGCCTGTGCTCCTCAACGGGAGAGGCCACAACAGGGCGAGGCCCGCGTACCGCAAAAAGAAAAGAAAAAAAAAAAAAAAAAAGTGGTGAGACAGCCTTGGGAGAAACACACTTCACAGACAGAGTGTGGGCCATCTCAGAAGGCGGGAGGCCTGTTTTACATTTTTCAATGAGACTGAATAGTTTTCTTCATATAATCCTATACCTTCCTGCTTAAATTCATTTGTAGATATTCTATAGCTTTGAATCATAACTGTGAATTTTTCCATCCGCATATTTAACGGGTTTAAGGTAGTTTAATGTGCTCTTGATCTTTTCTATACTTTGGTTTTCTGGGTATATAAAAATATGATCTGAAAATAAAGGTATTTTTAATTTCTTCACTTCGTCTCTTATCCTGCTTATTTTGTTTGTCTTAATGCATTAGTGATAAGTGTCAAGCAACAAAATAATAATGGTGAAAGTGAGCACATCTGTCTGGTTCTTGATTTTACTTGTCAGTGTTAACATGTTGTTTTGCTGAATCTTATCACATATTTTAGCATTTACTGATATCGCCACTTTTCCTTACTTAACGGACCAATAACCTGTAGAAGACATTGGAAAGTGGCTAAAGACACATTGTTTATGAAGGGCGCGACCTGGGCGGTTCTCAGCTGAGTTCCGCTGGACCCTAAATGGCTCTGTCCAGACCAAGGACAGGGATAAGCTGATTCCACCGAGGACGGAGAAGGGGCATTAATTACCAACTCTGATGGAGAGAGCAGGGAAAAGAAAACAGACCAGATTACCTCTAAATACAAATGCAAAAAAGCAAAATTACATGTTGTAACTGAGGCCTCGCAGTTTCTGAAATACTAATACTTCGTGACCCTGATTCTAGGAACGCAAAGATGTTTAAGGTGAAGTCTCTGCCCCATGACTCGATCCACCCCTCCTGGAGGGCTTCTGGGCATGACCACCCTCATGGGGTCGGTTGCCTGTCGGGGTTCAGTCCAGACCCTCTCAGGCCCAGCCTGGCCGGGGCCTAGTGTCAGTTGAGTGAGCTCTCGTGCTGGTGCCTTGTCTAAGAGCTAGAAATTCGCCAGGGCAGCCCCCAAACACAGGCCTTCAACATGAGGCGCCTCCAGGCTCTGGGCCTCTGTGGTGGATGCGGGAGCCACCGTGCACACCCGGCAGCGCACTCCCGGCAGCTGGGGCTCGTGGGAATACTTGCAAGTTGACACGGCAGGGCTCCACCCCTGCTGCAGAGCCGGGTAAACATTCCCCAGACACACCGCCTCTTCAGTCCCAAAGTGCAATGGTTTGAGTCCACAGCACGTGCTCTCCGAGGGGATCCCGCTGGGCCGTCCCCGCCCTCCACACTGCACAGGACACCCAGCCCCTCCCTCCAGCAGAGAGGCGTCTACACCACCTGGCTCACCGGGGGTGCTCTGACACCAGCAGAGCCCTGGTTACTGGCTGGCTGCCCTCAAGGGTCATGGAGGTTCAGATGAGCTGGTGGCTGTCACACAGGGAGACTGCGGCAGCCTCCTGCAGGGCCCCGGCTTCCACTCCCCACCCCGCAGCCCCACAAAAAATCCCAGCAGTTTGCTGAGCAACAGTCAGAGGAGCTTTTCTACCCCATAAGTCACCTGTCACTAACCCACCCACTGTGTCTCCTCAGAACCCTGCTGTGTGTAGCAACTTGCTAGTTCAGGGGTGAACCAGGCATTCCTTGTAAAACAGAGAGCAACGGAGGGTTTTGCTCATCACCCAGCTGCACGGGGGTGGGGCCACAGTGCACCCTGCGAGGGGATCAAGGCGACAGGATGGGGACTCCCCCGGCAGTCCAGTGGTTAGGACTCTGCGCTTCCACCGCACGGGGCCCGGCTTTGATCCCTGGTCGGGGAACTAAGAGCCCGCACGCCTCACGGCGTGGCCCCCACCCCCCAAAAAAGGTGACAGGACGAAGCCCTCCACACTCCAGACAGAGGACGTGAAGACGGTGACGGGGTACTCTGTGTTTTGGACAAACAATCAGGCCCTCGGACAGGTAGACGTGTATCTCAGCAAGTTTTAATGAATCCGGTTCTTCCCATACAGAGAAAAGCGCTACAGCCATTAACTGAGACGTCTGTTCTTTGTGACTAGCTGTGACCTTTCACTGGGACCTGACTGCCATATCTCCTACCAAAAGTCACATATCAAGAGGCTTCTTTCTCCCCACTTTTTTGGAAGAGCGTCCTCAGAGCTACGGAGTGGCTACGTCCCCAGGGAGGCCCTGAACAAAACGTAACCCCCAGCTCTCCTGTGGTGCCTTCTTTCAGCCACCTGGGCCCGGATGAGACTCAGGAAGAACTGGGGGGTGGGGGGGGCTCTGGAAGGGTTTTCCTGCTGGCAGATCTCGCAGTGCTGAGGCTCCCACCCCCAGCCCGTCTCCCTCCCGGGGAGGCAGCCCCTAGATGGCTGCCGGCTATGTGTGCCCACGGCCAGCCCGGCCCTGCCCTGCCAGCACTTCCACAAGCTGCTCTTACCTGGCTTCTCCACTCACTCGCCTGCCTGCCCCCCGAGGGTCAGCTCCCCGAGGCTGGGCCTCGTCTCATCCCCGCCGCATCCCTGGGCAGAGATGGTGGAACAGGACAGGGTGTCCCCAGCGGGCAGGGCCACCGCTGTTATTAGCGCCGTCGGGACGCCCGACGTCCCGGGGGGACAGATAAAAAGGCCGCCGAAGGCGGTGCGGGCCTCTGGGGTTGGCCCGGGTGTTCGAGGCTCTCAGGGCCGACGCAGCAGACCCAGGGAGGGGGACACACCTGCCCCCGCGCTGCGTCCACCCGCTTCGTCTTGGGAGGGACCGCCTGCGCCTCCCTCCAAGGCTGCACCGTGACCTCCGCTTCCAGGCAGTGATGAAAATGACACGTTTAACATCAAAAGCCGTTCCGAGTACCGTCGACAGTGACGATACTGGAGAGCAGATTCCGGGAGGCTCTTCCCGGGAGCTGCCCTGCAGTGAGCCCGGGGCCCCGGCCGCGTGCCCGGGGGGCTTTAACGCTGGAGGCCGAGGCGGCGGCGGCGGGGGGCCGGTGGGCGGCCTAGACCCCGGACTTGGCGATGATCTTCTCGAGCAGGCTCATCGTGCGCTCCTGCAGCTGCAGGCCCTGCGCCTGCAGGAGGCTGTGCTGGTCCAGCCCGCGGCGCAGCTCGCGGCACGTCTCCTCCAGGGCGCGGCTGAGCCGGCGCTGCTCCTCCAGCATGGTCTCCAGCAGCCGTAGCTTCTTCCTCTGCCAGTGGCCGCCCTGTCCCTTGCGTTTCTTCACGGGCCGCTCGTCCGACCTGGAAGGACAGCGCCGGCGTGTGGACGGCTGGCCACGGAGCCCGGGCCTGCCCGACCCTCCCGGCCGCCACCGGGCACACGGGGTGCTGGGCTACCGTCCACGCACGTGAGGGCCGGGCCCTCCCACCACGAAGGGGGCGCAGGCTTAGGAGGCGGGGGGGTCCCTGCCACGAGAGCACCCCCAAACCCGCTGAGCTGGTTGGGCGTGCCCTGGGCTCTCCGCTCGGGGGTGGGGCATCCCGGGTCTAACCGGCCCCCACGGGTGGGCAGGGAGCTGCCAAACCCCACCAGGCCCCAAGATCCTGCCCGTCCCCGAGCCCAGGCCCTCTGCTTCTGTGCAGAAGATTCGTGACCCCGCCAACCTCAGGGGCAGAGAGCAGAGCTCGGCCCCGAGAGGGAGAACAGCCCCACGTCCCAGTCCTGGTGCAACGCCTGGGGCAGCTGTCAGTCTGGGAACTGGGCTCAATCCATGGAAACAACTGTCCGTAAATCTCAGACTTCCCTGCAACTCGGCCTGGCCACCAGCAAAGGCATTTCTGTCTGGGGTCTTTGCTGAGAACAAACGGAGCAGCAGCCCCCCGGAATGGGGGCGTCAGACTGGAGGGGCCCCCGGAGATGCCTTCCTCACCCCACCCTACTCCCATCTGACAGACCTGAGACCAGGCTCAGGGGAGGCAGGGCCACGGCTCAAATCCACACTCTTCCTGTTCTCTCCCCCACTGGCCAACTCCTATTCATCCGTGAAAGCCCAGCCCAAACGTCACCTCCTCTGGCTCCCCGGCCCCCACACCACAGGGGTGTGTCTCCCGCACACCTGACTGAGGGCATCTTTAGGCAGGGTCAGCACATGCCTGGCAGGACGCCGTGGACGGCAGAGGGGCTGCGTCCCCCCACTGCAGCCAGGCTCCGAGCACACCCTGGAGGCTCAGCCTGACACCCCCTCCCTGGAGCTGAGAGACTAGCCGGCCCGGCCAGGCCAGGGAGAAGGGGACCCCAGGGCACAGTCTGCTTGGGGTAGGGGGAGCGCAAGAGCCAGAAGCCGAGGGAAGGCGGGAGCACTCGCCTCCAATCCCAGCCCTCCTTGGAGAAGGTCCTGATTTATCCCCATTTCACAGAGGGAGGCTGAGGCCCAGAGAGATCAAGGACTTTCCACACAGCTAAGCGGTGACGGAGCAGGAGATGCACCCAGTCTGTGGACACGACAGCCCAAGCTCCGGGAACCACCTGCCTTCCTGTCTCTGGCCTCCCTGCCCCTGGGGCTGGTGCATATACTACCCGGGCTTCCGCGGCCGGCCCGGGCCAGTAGAGGATGCCGCCGCCAGGACAGCCCCCTCGCGGCCCTCAGCCCCCTCTCCGGAGGGCGGGTGCCCGGCCCCGCTGGTGTGGAGGCAAGAGAGGGAAGCACACACACTACCTGAACTTAAGGGACAGTAAGCTGGAGGAGCTGGCGGAGCCATCGTCCTGGAAGCGGCCTTCGTAGGAGCACTGCTTATACGGTAAGTACAGAGGGGTAGACTTAGCAGACGGCGACAGGGACGCCTCGGTCTGGGACGTGGAGGGCCCCGGCTGCTGGCCGTCCGGCAGCTTGCCATCACAGGACTCGGGGACCTTGGCCAGAATCCTATCAATGGCTAGGTAATAGGGCCAGTCGGGCGGGACGGACTCGCTATCTGTCATGCATTTTAATTTCCTGAAACGAAAGACACAAGAGCCAAGGGTGAGAAACAGCTGCTCCCGGCCCTGCCTCGCCCGGCCCTCGGCGGAGGGGCACTCGGGGGCTCCGGACCTGGGGGAGCCACGTGGCAGCCAGGCCTCCCCAGAAAAATCGGCCAGGCCCCAGGGCCAAGGTGACATGGGACTCAGCAAGAAGTCAGGCTCGGGACCTACACCGCCTTGGATGTTGGAAAGGATGCACGTGCCCCAGTGTGAGTGCCGGGACCTTGGGCTCATGCGTCCTCTCTTTGCTTTTCTGGAATTTCTAAACTCTCTGCAATGAACAAATGCTGCTTTTTAACAAGTTAACCGGCAATAACCAAATATATGGTATAATACCAACATGGGAATAAAATGTAATATAATGTGTTATGCAAACGTAAAGTACGGTCATATAATAAACGCGCTTTTCTAAAGAGGACGCCCTGGGGAGCAAGAAGCTCAGAAGGTAAGAGCACAGGCCTCAGTGTCCAGCACATCTGAGTCTGTCTCTCATCTCCATCGCTTTGCTGTGTGACCATCAGCAGGTCCATTAACCTCTCTGAGCCTCCATTTTCACATCAGTAAAACGGGGATGATCAAAGTAAGCTCCTCACGTGGCCGTCACTCTCGGGAAGATTTAAGAAGACAACGCCCGGTGTCTGGCAAACAGCAAGCTGTCAGATATTCTCGGCTGAAGGTACCAGGAGGACCCGGGCTGGGCCGGACGGGGTCCCTTCCCACACTGCCTGGCATCCCCCATCCCTACTCGGGCCCCAGGCCCAGGGTCTGCACTGCACAGCTCTGCCCACTGTGGGCCTGAGCCCATCCGAGGCCCTGCATCATGCTCCCCTCCCCTGCAGACGGAACCTGAAGGTCCCTGGGCCTTGGCTGTCCCCTGGGAGGTGAGGGATGGGGAGAGGCGGCCGCAAGACAGCTGGGCAGCACCAGCCAGGCCAGGAAAGAGGCCACAGGGTTTCCCGGGCCCCCGGCCTCAGCTTCCAGCCCCCATGTTCCTGCCCCTCGCTCTTCCCGCTGTGGGGAGGCCTTTGAGCAACAGAGCGCCCCGTGGCCAGATGGCCTCTGTCTCTGACAAGGGGCTCCCCGCCAGGCTGTGGCCGCCGGTCACACTGGTCACTGCAGATAACGAGCTGACCACCTGAAAGAGTGGCCCCCCGCAGAGGTGCGTGGCTCAGGGCAGCAGGCAGAGGCGGGCCAGGCAGGACATGCCCTTGAGCAGCACCCAGCAAGCAGACTGTCCTCAGCAGGAAGGCCAGGACAGGCCACGTGGGGACGAGCAGGCTGCTCCGGCTTCCTGACCACGGACCGCCGTCCATCCCGCGGAGGGCAACACGGACATGGGCACAGCGGGTGGACGATGGTGCTCGGGGCCCAGCCCCCGCCCGGGCTCCCCCCCAGGCCCTCCGCAGGCGTCCCCCCAGCTCCTGGTCTGTCAACTCAGGCCAGCCCACTCCTCAGAGAAATAAGGAAAGGCCCGCCCTGGCGTGGGGAGCACCTGAACGGTGTGCCAACAAAACACCCCCCACGGAACCTGGCCACCCCCAGGCTTCCTTAACCAGCATTTTTTTTTTTTTTTTTCTTCTGGTTACACTGAGCGACTTGCGGCATCCTAGTGCCCCAACCAGGGATTGAACCTGGGCCGCGACAGTGAGAGCGCAGAGTCCTAACCGCTGGACCGCCAGGGAATCCCCCGACAATCTTAATATATAAAAAGCTGTCTCCGGGGCTTCCCTGGTGGCGCAATGGTTGAGAGTCCGCCTGCCGATGCAGGGGATACGGGTTCGTGCCCCGGTCCGGGAAGATCCCACGTGCTGCGCAGCGGCTGGGCCCGTGAGCCATGGCTGCTGAGCCTGCGCGTCCGGAGCCTGTGCTCCGTAACGGGAGAGGCCACAGCAGTGAGAGGCCCGCATACCACACACACACACACACACACACACACACACACACACACACACAAAGCTGTCTCGGAACTTCCCTGGCGGTCCAGCGGTTAGGACTCCGTGCTTTCACTGCCGAGGGCCCAGGTTCAATCCCCGGTCGGGGAACTGAGATCCTGCAAGCCCCGCGGTGTGGCCAATAAATAAATAAATAAATAAATAAACAAACAAGGATTGTTTAAAAAAAAAAACAGCTGTCGTGAAAAAATAACTAAAGTCTCTGCTGTGGGAGGCTCTGGGTGGCGGGGGGAGAAAGAACCAGTCGCGCAGCCAAAGCGTTGGCCTGTGAGGGGCTGTGTGGCCTTGGGCAAGTCCCTCTCCTGCTCTGGGCCTCTGTTTCCCCATCGGTGTATGGGAGCTGACAGATACCACGGTGTGCAAGTGCTTCCTGAACTGTGAAGTGCTGTCCGCGAAGGGGCCCTGGGCCCTCTCAGCCATACCCTCATCTCCTGTGGCCTCTGGGGCCCACATCCCTCTTCCAGGAATGGAACAGAATCCCTCCCCTGGGACTCTGACGCAGCTTTCAGGATAAATAATGAATGACCCGGCTAGACACCAGTCAGGGCCCTGGAGCTATGGAGTCAGACAGGAGCCCCGTAAGACAGCCTGCGTCGCCTCCACAGCTCCCTCCTCACTGGGCGGGGGCGGGTGGGGGGCGGGGGGCAGGTGCGCCTACACGCTACTCGGCCCTTCCGTCAGGAGCCGGTGACTGGAATCTGACAGACTTTACCTAAGCGACTCCTCGGATGCCTTTGGACCCCAGCAGCCACCTGTTTTCCACCCCGGGGCCTGGCTGGGGGCCAAGCTGGGGGTCAGAAACGGGCCTCCGGACAGGCCAGGCTCAGGACCTCCAAGGGCCAGAAAAAGTTAAATGGATGCAACTGAAACAGCCTCTGGTTGCCCAGGGCCCTGGGGAGCCCCTGCACGTCCCCAGGCTCCAGACGGGCCGGGAGCGTCAGGCCAGGAGGGGTGAGGTCTCTCCTTGCTTGTTCGGGGTGGGCATGGGAGTCGGGGTGAGGGTCCTCTCACCCACGGTGTGGCTCAAGGTGCCCGAGGCCAACCTGCAGGGCCTCGTCCACACGCAGCTGTGTGCCCCTGCCCACGGCGGCCACTAGGAGGGCCAGAGGTGGCCTGGGCTGGGACCAGCTGGGTCCCGGCACGGCCCCCTAGACGGCACCCTCCCCCCCCACACACTGACAGGCTCTCGGGGGCTGCCCAGTCCGCCCCCAGGGCCCATGCTCTCGGTGCCACTCTCCCCCTAGAGCCCAGCTGCTGCTTGACCTTTACCTGCCCTGACCCACACCACACCTCTGACCTTTGCCCTCCCTGTGACCCTCTCCTCACCGTGAGCCCCTGCAGATAGGCCTGGCCTCACACTCCACGGTGCTGGGCACGTGGGGCCACAGGGCTCCGTCCCGGACGCCAGAGCTTCCCCTGCTGGAGCCACACGCTTCACCCCGACCGGGCTCCTCCCACAGCAGCCAGGGCAGGGGGCCTCCTCCCGGGAGCGGACCCTCCTGGGCACTCAGGGCTTCCCTGAGCCCCCCACGCCCCGCCCAGGCCCCAAGGCCAGCGCTGTGCTGTGCTCACAGCAGGCTCAGCGGATACTGAAGGTGACAGAGCGGCAGGACAGGCCGGCTCGCGGGCCTGGCGGCTGAGCCTCCTCTGGCCTCAGTTTCCCGCCCACACAGCAGCACCCGCCACCCTGTGGAGCACAGCCAAGCCTGGGGGGCCGAGTGGGAGTCACCCGTGGGCCTGGGGGGTGGTGCCCTGGCCGAGGCCTGGGGAGCCGGGGTCAGCCCCAGCCCGGCCCTCCTGTGCCTCGGTTTCCCCCCTCCCCTCTCCCATGGCTTCTGCAGGACCCCTCTCACTTACACAAAGCCAGGACTCCCCCCGCCCCCTGACTCAGCTCTGGGGATGTCCCGGCCGGGGCGGGGGCGGGGGGGGGGGGCGGTGTCCCTGTGCGGACCGCCTGCCCAGCGAGCCTGGGGCGCCCTGGGGCTCTGTGGCGGCGACAGCGGTGGCCGCGGGCCTACCTGTACTGGAAGGTCATGTTGGTGATCTTGATCTTGATCTCCTCGCCCAGCCGGCGCTCGCCGGTCATCTCCAGCAGCTTGCTGGCCATCTTCTCGTACACCTTGGCATTGCGCTTGGTCTGCTTCAGCTCGTCGAAGAACTCCTCCCAGACGAGCATGAGGCCGCGCATCTCCGCGTCCGTCCAGTTGCGGGCCCGCCGGTGCTTCTCCGTCTGCGAGGACACGAGGTAGCTGGGCACCTCGGCCGCTGCCATGCCGGGGGCACCTGCGGGGTTAAAGAGTGCGCTCGGGCCGGGCCGCGTGGGGCCTGCGCACCACGGCGGCGGGAGCCCCGCTCCTGGAAGGCAGCTCCTCGCTCAAAATGGGGCCTACATCTGACAGGCAGGAATTTAGTTAAAAGCTTTTAAACGGGAAACGTCATTTTGATGTCACGTTTCCATAGCAACAGAGCAACTGCATAAGCTACAACAACAGAAACCTTTTAACTGAAAGCGCAGGAATCAGGGCCGCCCTGACGGGCCATCAACATTGCAGTGAGCGAGCCAGACCCCAAACCGGCGGCCCGGGCTCCGGCCCCGCCCCGCGCCCCAGCCCTGTCGCCAGGCTGGCCGGCCCAGGCCACCGAACGAGGCACCTCCGCTGGGCAGACCGGGCTCTTGAGAGGTGGGGTCCAGGCCGCAGCCCCCGCCTCTGCCCCGCCCCGGCTCACACAGGCGGGGGCCCAGGGAGGGCCCAGGGTAAGGGATTGGGGTGCAAATAAATGAGGAGACCCAGAGGAGGAGAGACGGCAGACAGAGGAACACACTCTTGGGGACCCGCAGAGACACGTGTGTGCACCAACACCCACCCACCTGCATGCCCTGCACACAGCCATCCTCCGGCCAACATGCTCACACTTACGGTACAAACGCCACCACCACCAGGCTGGGCGGGGGCAGGGCTCTGGCCCCGAGCAGACCCCTAGCTCGGCCACTGTCTGCCTGCTCCCCTCCTTGCAGGCGGGATGCTTGCTGGCCTGGGTGACACATGGGGTGGGCTGAGGAGCCGGCACAGTGCTTGAGGCCAGAGAGTAGCTGGGAGCGGGTGGTGTGGATCCCTCTCACCATGGGCAGCCCCACCGCAGCCCTGATCGCCCTGCATCAATCAGCACCATCCACACCCAGACCTGCCTGGTCCACTTGGCTGGGTGGGCTGCTCCTGTACCCCACGACCCCGCAGGAAACAGCTTGGGGAAGCCTTGCTGAATAAAGGAGTGAACAAACGAAGGACTGACCTCAGGTAAATCCCCTCCCTTCCCAGCAGGTTGCCTAGACTTCACCTTCGGACTTACTGGCAAACTCTTATTCATTCTTCAAAACCCTGTTCTGGCATCAGCTCCTCTCTGAAGTCTTCCTATTCAATACACTTTGGTCCTTCTTCCCTTTTTCCCTCCTGCAAATTGGACCTTCCTTGAGCCAGCCATTTATTTTCTGCCTTCCAGCTTTGTGACGCTTGCTAAGGCGACTGGGCACTGTTCTAAGTGCAGTATGTCTGGTACGTCTGTGTCTTCTACTTTGATCCTCACGGCACTCTTGCAAGGGAGGCTGGCACTGCTGTTATTCCCATTTTCCAGTTGAACAGCCTGACGGACAAAGGTGAGGTCACACTGTGGTCAAGGAGCCAAGCTGGGCTCTGAACCCAGGCAGGCTGGCTCGGGACTGGGTTTGATTTGTGTTGTGCAGTGGCCGCCAGGCTCCCCGTGAAGGACACCATCACGCCTCCTCTGCCCATGGTCCTGGGTAAACGCCCCTGCTGCTTCCTGGCTCTCATGGGAGGCCCCCCAACGCTGACCTTGGACAAAGCGACCACTGGCACTGGCTGGGGTCCCCGGCCACCCACCCTCAGCCGGCCTCTGCCAGTGTCTGACTGAGGCTCAGAGGACAGGGACACAGACCTCCAGCACCAGCCAGGTGGTGCAGTGTAGGATGAAGGAGAGCTCTGCAGAAGGACCGGCCAAGAGAGGCAGCAAGGCCGCCCGGCCCAGAGCACATGCAGGACGGGAAGTGAGAGGTGGTGGGGCTGTAACGGGGAGGGCAGGACAGCAGGGCCTGAGAGCCAGGCTGGGGATGGGCCGCCACCTCGGCAGGGCCTAGGGACTGAGTGCCCACCGGGACTGGCCAGGGGACCAAGCCTTAGCCGGGCAGAAGACCAGAGCAGTGGAGCCTGCGGGGGCTTCAGAGAGAAGGGTCACCTAAGGCATCGGGACTGAACATTTTGAAGATAAAACTCAAGCAGGTGGCTTGCCAGCAAGAGCCCTCACACCTGCTGGACGGGCTGCAATGGCCACGTCGTGCCCCCGCCCCACCCCCAGGCCCACGGGCCAGCGTGCCCATCCGTGAGCCTGCCTGGCATCCTCGGGGTTCTGGGGTGGCCTGAACTCGGGGGGAAGGGCTCACAAAGTCCAGGCCGAAAACCTCCACCTTCAACAGAGGACCCTCCTCGGGCCTGACTATGACAGGAGCTTCTTGGTCTGAGCCGTCCCAGGACAGGGAAGCTGAGCCTGGGATGCAAGGCGTCCCCGAGTCTCCGCCCAGGTGCCCCCACCCCCGCACCCACGTGCCCAGAGCTCGCCCTCTGACACCCTGCGAGGCGGGCTGAAGCCCTAGGTGGAAGGAGGGGAGGTGCTCAGGATGGGGTGGGCTGGCTGGGGCTCCCTCCCTCCCCCGCAGTCAGAACTTGGGGTGCAGAGTGGGAGGGCAGCAGGGGTCCCTGGGTCAGGGCCCAGGCCTGCCATCAGCTCCTGGCGGAGGCCCCTCCCTCTCTAGGGACACAGGGACACCACACAGCACCGCCCAGGAAGGCTGACAACTGCTGCACTCCTCCGGCCTGGGTACCTGGCACAGAGCACTCAGTAGTGCTTGCCAAGTGAACCAGTGACCGCAAGTCCCACCTCCTCCAGGAAACCTCCCCCCCGCCCCGCCCTAGACGAAGGATTCAACCTACCAAGTGGCCCTAGCGCTGGCTCTCTGTCCCCCAGAGCGTGTGCCAACCCTGACCATCCTCCAGGTGGACCTTTCTTCAACCACGACTCCAAGAACAGAGCAGGGCTGCCTCAGTGCATCCCAGCACCAGGGGCAGGGGGACCAAGGGAGAGGCAGGCAAAGCCGGCTCAGGGTCTCAGACCCAGTTCCACCAATTCGGGTTGTGACTCGGCTGTCCCCGCCCCCCAGCCCCCGTCTTCACCTACAGTGGGGCTCAGAGCACAGGAGTCGTCCTCTCTGGACAAGTATCCACTGCCAGACATGCGGCTGGAGGCTGCACCTCCAAGGCCCTGAGACCCCTTCCCACTGCCCCCTCCCTCCCCCGACCCAAACCCTCCTTGGAGCTTTGGGAGAGGGCAGAGGCGCATGTGCTGGCCTGGCTGGGGCTGGTGAATCGTCATCAGGAAAAGCTGCTGCCCCAGGGCACCCGGCCTGGTCAACCCCAGGACAGCGGGTCCCAATGCCTCCGCAGGGCAGCTGTGGCCCAGAGGCATCGCTGCCCGTGCTCAGGGTCCTGGCAGCCAGGCGGCTCGGAGGAGGCATCTACACCCCCTGCTAGGCCTCCAGCCAAACGTCCAGGAGAGTCAGGGTAAAAGGCTGGGCTCCAACCGTCTCTTCTCAGGTTTCAGGGGCACCGGAAGCCCTGGAGAGGGGGGCCCGGGGAACGCTCCCGGAAGCAGAGCCCTCACTTTCGGCGTCCAAGGACGAGGAGGGGCCAGGCAGGTGGGGAAGACAGGCCCAGCTCCCAGCGGCCCCACGGGTGGGCCCACGTGCCCTCGGCTGGGCAGGGCTGTGAACCTCGGCACAGGCCTCCGCCTCCCCCCGCAGAGGCTCAGGGCAGGAAGGGGCATCTCTCAGGGGCCTCCAGCACCTCCTGGGAGCAGGCAGCGGTGAGCTGAGCCCGTCTCCGAAGGCAGGGGTTTGGCCGAGGAAGACCCCCCAGCTGGGCAGAGGGAGGGAAGCACAGGGAGTGTGGGAGATGGGTCCAGGCCCGGGCGCAGGCAGGGCAGAGCTGAAGGAGGGCAGGTCGGGAGGATGGACTCCCTGGTGCCAGGGGACGACGACCGTGCCGGCACCACCATCCTCTCCCCGCGTGCACGGGAGCCCAGACCGTAACTTTCAGTCCTCCGCCTCAGCACGCAGAACCCAACCCCGACCCAACGGCTCCACCGGGCCAGCCAGCCTCCGAGCACACCCTGGGCCGGGTGAGTGGAGGCCTGGCCAGTGGAGGCCTGGCCAGTGGTCCGTCCCATCCACAGCACGGGGTGAAGGCCTGGGAGTGTCAGGCCCCTAGAGAACGTGGCCGTGACGGGCCCTGGGTTTCCTGCTTGGAAGGCCAGTGGCAATGAGCCGTCCAGATGGAGAAGCCAGGCCGTTGAGGCCCCCAAGCTCGTGGAAACTGCAGGACACCCTCATGGTTTCCCAAGAGCCCTGGTGACCCCACAAAGCAGGCCCACCCTGTGCCCACAGGCCCCGGGCCCTGGCAGAATGCCCCGTCCGGCGGTGCCTGGGCCCATGGCCAGGCTACCCTGAGGGGTGAGGCTGGGCCGGGCACCCCCAGACCCAAAAGGGCTCTCAGGTGTCAGGTCAGGAAGCAAGGGCTTCCTCTGAAGACAAGAGGGGTCTTGCCCTTTACTGAGGGCACCTGTGCACGGTGGCTGGAGGGTGAGTGGGGGACATGCCGTCGCTTCTTTCCAGGGGATCTGGGGGCATTTCCTTTCTGGAAACAGCAGGTGGACCAGGTGTGCCAGCCAGGGTCTGGCTGCCTCGCCTGGACCAGGGAGGGGCGGGTAGAGCTTAGGCAGCTCTGAAGGGTGAGCTGAAGGGGCCCTGGAGGTGTGTCGCAGAGGAGACACACCTGTGGAGGCGACATTATCTTCCCAAACGCGTAGAGCAACTCAGGTGGAAACGAACCCGTGCGGCCCGTCCACAAGGCCCAGCAGCTAAACGCTCTCCAAGCAGCTTCCTGCCGACACTGTCCGCACCTGCGGCGCCTGCGCACATCCCGACATCCTGTCTGCAGGCGTGTGCGGTCACACGGCCGTGACCACAGGCAGGGGCCAGTCCACCCGTGCTCGGCCGTCTCTCGGGGCACCCACCACGGTCGGGCTCGGGGCCGCCCACTTCCCAGAACTGGGGGGACTTCAGCAGACACTGTGAAGCGCCTGCCCGGGGCAGCCCGCGGCCCAGGGTCTCTGTGTTTGCAGGTTGGTGGGCAATCACCAGCGCCCCGAGATGACTGTGATGCTCACTACCGGGGTTCCCGGGGGCTGGGAAGGACGGTGCCCACTCAGCTGAGTGGAGAAGACTTCCAGGAGGAGCTAGCATTTCAGGCGGGAAGAACTCACCGACTCAAATAGACAGGGCGGCATCGCCTCACGCTGTCGCCCAGGAGCACGGGGGCCAATGGCCAATGAGGCGGAAGGGGCAGCTAGACCGTGAGGGGCTCAAAAGTCAGGTCGCGGCCCCCAAGTGAGCCCCCCAGAACCTGTGCCAGCCCTGACCGCCCCTCCAGGGTAGGGCTCCAGGCGAAACCCCACGGCCCCTGGGAGATTCCACCAGAACCGCTGCAGCCTTCGCGGCCGCGTGTGCGGGCAGGAGGCCCGCTGTGAGGCGGCCCGCGGGTCGCCTCCTCAGCCCCTCACAGCCAGCCACCCGGACCGGCGGCCCCCGACCGAGGCACTGGGCTCGTGCTGGTGCGGCATCGATTCCTGCCTCCCCGCCGCGGGGTCTAGGCTCTCCACAAGCAAAGCAGGCCTCACCCAGCAAGTTATCGCTTAGTTCTTTTCTTTTAATTCATAAGTACAATGTTTGTAGCAGTTTAAAAAATTAAAATGTACATCTCACGTCAGACCTCCCTTTCCGAGTCACGTCTGGGCCAGGCTCCGGGACGCACCCATCGCAGCCCTGCTGGTGCCTAGCGTGGCAGGGACGGCGGGGACAGTGGCGGTGGCGCAGCATGAGCTCAAACCCCTGCCAATGGCCACTCCGCCACGGCTCGAGGCAGCGAGTACGGGCAGGTGGCCCCACTGAGCTCAGAGCCCAACCACCTTCGGCAGGTCCACGACGGCCACAATCCTCCAGGGCCAGAGGTCACCCTGCCGTGACTGTCTGGGGCCAGATGCTCCCACAT